CTCTGGGTCCCAGAGTTCAAACTATATCCCCACCAGGAAGAGCAGTGCCAGTCCCAATTCACCCACAGGGAGTCCACGCTGCGTCTATGTCTCTCAACCTCAGAGTCTGCCCCGTTCTCCTGGGATCACCGTGCCAGCAGCACCTGGGAGGGCTGGCAGGTAGGGAGCTCACAGTCTGAGTTTCCCTTAGTCAGCTGTAGGGCCCCAAAAGGGAAGGTCCCGTTCCCTGTAGGTGCCTCCGGCTGGTGGCTGTATTGTCTCTCTGTCTCTCTGGGCAGCCGCGGGTAGGGTCAGGGGAGAGGAGGAGGAGGCAATATGGCGTCTGCCTCGCGGCTCAGGTTTGTGCACACGGAGGTGCCCCGAGGGAGTTGGGAGCCCGGTGCCGCATCTGCCACTGGCTTACCGCTCACTGGCAGCGGCCGTGGCTGGGCTGGTGTCCACAGGTCTCTCCACTCGCTGGGGAGCCCACCAGCAGTCCGGGATGCAGGGGAGGTGAGAAGGCCGATACTTCCCGCTGGTCTCCGGGCTGCTCCGGCGGTCCCAGCTTCCAGTTCTCCTCCGTGACCTCCTCCCGTGGAGTCTCCCGTGGTCTCAGGTACTCCTCCTTCCGACCCTCATCCGATGTAGGCTCGTCTTCATGCTTCTTTCTTCTGATTTCTGCTAGAATCTATCTTTTCTGCAGAGACACTCTGGCGGTGTTTTTCATCCGCCATCTTTTTTCCTCCCTGTTTAGATATTTTCATCCTCATCTGGAGGGAGACATGGTATTTTCAGCTCAGGAGGCATTTATATTAAGATTGATTATAGAAAACTTTATGAAGTATATATGTCTGAAAATATATAGTTTGGTTTTGTGGTTGGTTAAGAGGCTGTGAGGATGGAATGGTCTAGGGAGCAGGATAGGAAGGGAGGGAAAAGAAAGGAAGAAAGATAAGGAGCCTGTGGCTTAACAGAGATAGGGGCAAGTGAGAGAGAAACCCACAGAGGAGGGCAGAGAAGGGGGAATGGCACTCAGGCCGACAGAAAGGCTTAGAGAATTTCACCAAAGTTACTGTGATCAGGGCTGATGCTCTGCAGCTTCCATTTATCATAGGCTTATTCTGCAAGCTTGATTAATTTCTTAACACTATTCAAAGCTCTTCAGCTGCTCCAGAACTTATGCCTTTGAGCCTGCACTCTTCCTAAGTTAACAAGCAGAACACTCTGCCAAGGAAGAATAAAAAATACTAACCACAGTACCAATAAGAGCAGATCATCCTTAAGTCTTAAGAAAGGGAAATCAACAGACCATTCTCTCACCCTGTTTCTACCCCTGGTTGGAAGAAAGGGTGTTGAATTTCAGCCTGTCGATTATTGTGGGATTTGGAATCAACACTGGATTTCTTATAATAGAATGTTCTCGATCACTGAAGAAGATATTTTGAAATTTAAGTCTTATGACCCCTCTTCACTTAAAAGACATGCTCTACAAAAAGAAAAATTCACTATACCTCATATGCATGAAATTATTTAGGACAAATGGTGACCCACTGGTGACTATGACATAGCATTTGCTTTTAGTAATGAGTTTTACAAGACAGCAAGTCACACCATGCCCTTGACCACAAACAAATGAGATTCTTTGTATCACACTGGAGTTAGCCCTCTTTCTGGAAAATCTCCTATTTGATAGTATGTTCAGTTCAAAAACTGTTTATCTTCTTCACATTACTATAAGACTTGGTATTTCAAAAAGAGTAAATTCATTTTATGTTTGTGTTCAAATTCAAAATGAATTAGTTGGCAGCTTATTATTTACGTGGACTATTTACATAATCTATATGGATTGCTGAGATGTCAGTGTACCTACAATTAAGCAATTTAATGGAGACAGGACATTCAGATTCACCACTGGAATTGCCCCATCTCTAATATTTTTGGTTGTTTTTAACTGATCCTGATACCGTTGCTCAATTTTTAAAATATATGTCGTTCATTGGCACCTGAGTACAAACTTTGGACATAAGCATCCATAGTGCTAAAGGAAACGCTACAAGGTGTCTGGTGTGTGTGGGTCTCATGCTCAGTAGAGGAAAGATAGTACCTACAATTCCAGGCCCTGTTCACTTGTAATCTACTGAAAAGACTGAATATATATGTAAGGAAAAAATTTTAAACCTGACATTTATTTAATAGCCACAGTGTTAGTCTCTTTTGCGTTGCTATAAAGCAATACCAGAGACTGGGTAATTTATAGAGAGAAGAGGTTTATTTGGCTTATGGTTCTAGAGACTGTACAAGCATGGCACCAACATATGCTTTTGGTGAGGGCTTCAGGGAGCTTCCACTCAAGGCAGAAGGCGAAGGTGGAGCAGGTGTGTCACATGGCCAGAGGGGAGCAAGAGAGGGAGGAGGTGGTGCCATGCACTTTTAAGCAACCAGCTCTCGCTGGAATTAATAAAAGTGAGAACTCAGTCATTACTGCAGGAAGGGAACCAAGCCATTTGTGAGGGATTCACCTCCATGACTCAAACAACCCCCCCCAAGCCCCACCTCTAACACTGGGGATTAAATTTCAACATGAGATTTTGAGGGGCCAAACATCCAATCTGTATCAGATATTAACAGTAGCTTTTAATCTTAGTTTTCTTTCAGTGATTAGAAAAACAAACTTTAGAGAGAAATATGAATATTCTTACTCTATTAAGATATAATAGTGAGCATTTCATGTAAACTTAACCCATTTAATTGTCATAATAGTTTTAGAAATAGATACTATTATTTTGCATATTAAGAAATTGAAGCCAGAGAATTTCAGAGAATTTGAGTTACTGACCCAATCATTACAACTGTTCTTTTTTTTTTCGTAAAAATAGGCATTTTCATCATCTGTGATGAAAATATGTGTATATGCTTAAAATACTCTCGTAACTATGTAGTTGAAAAAGCTCCCAATTCCAGTATATTTACTGGCCATATTTGAAATACTTCTTATGTAGCCCATCTATATTTTTTCATCAACTTGACTTATATTCATTTGAGAGGATACTTGGCCTCCAGATGGAGAAATAAATTTAACTTACAGGATAGAGAAACCAGAGGCATGCAGAAATTGGTGTGTATCTTAAAAGAGAATTCTAATTATAAGGACCTCTTAAATCTAAAAGTTTTTCCCTTTGGTATAAGCCATCGACTGTGTGAAACATGGCGTTTTACATTAAAGATGGTGTTTTGGATGAATTGAAGCTCCATGATTTTCTGCAAAAATGTAGGGGAAGATAACTAAGATGCTTGTTGTTGTAGATCAGAATAATAGGTTGACAAGAGGGAATGCTCAAGCAGTAATATTTTAAAGAATTAGTACACAGGAGAAAAGAGCTGTGAAGCAAAAGAATACAAGCACACACATTCTGACATATACTATATACACACCATATGTAAAATTGGATACATTTTAGGCAGATGATCCCAATAACTCCATTTATACATTTTCTGGCCATTTTCTGGCACATTACTTATGCCAGCTGTCTGTGGAAAATAAAGAAATGATTCATTATTTAAAATTTATTAACCCCCTACAATATATAAGCACTGTGGTTGGTAATAGGGATATAAAAATAGAGAAGATGGTCTTTGTCCTTAAGAGCTCCCAGCATCCTGTGGGGAAGGTATTATTGCAAGGGTATGGTGACATAGAAGAGACATTCACAGAGAGTTTCATGATCCCAGAGTGGGGATATCATGGAGGGCTTTCTGGAGGAAGTGATGTTGAGCTGAGTCTTGAAGAGCAAGCAGCAGTTAGTTAAAAGGGAGTAGAAAACATGGAACCCTTTCCAGGATACAGGGTGGAAAGGCCAAGAGCTTGAAACAGAATGGTGTGTGCAGTCTGGGGTTGCTGGAATACAGTGATCAGAGAGATTAGAGGTAGGCCAGATCTAGTAGGATTAACTAGACATAAAATGCTTGTATGACTTTATACTTCCAATAATGGTGAGCCTTTACAGGGTTTAAACCCTGAGTGGCAAGGTCAAATTTGTATCTTAGGGTGGGACGTGGTGGCTCACACCTGTACTCCTAGCACTCTGGGAGGCCGAGGCAGGCAAATTGTTTGAGCTCAGGAGTTCAAGACCAGCCTGAGCAAGAGCGAGACCCTATCTCTACTAAAAAAATAGAAAGAAATTAGCTGGGCAACTAAAAATATATAGAAAAAATTAGCCGGGCATGGTGGCGCATGCCTGTAGTTCCAGCTACTCAGGAGCAGTAGGATTGCTTGAGCCCAGGAGTTTGAGGTTGCTATGAGCTAGGCTGATGGCATGGCACTCTAGCTTGGGCAATAGAGTAAGACTCTGTCTCAAAAAAAAAAAATTTGTATCTTAGCAGATCATTCTAGTAACTGTGTGGAGAATGTTTTTTAGGTGGATGAAACCAGAGTTTGGGATCCAGTTTAGGAGGCTGTTGTAAAAATGTAGGCAAGTGATGCTGAGGGTTTGAACCAACATTGTGATAATGGAGACTTGGTAATGGCGTTGGAGGACTTATGCAATGGTTAGGAGGTATAATTAGTAAGACCTGGTGCTCATTTGGACGTGGATGGGTGGATCAGGATTTCTCAGAATTTCAGCTTGGGTGACCCGGGTATGGGGTGGGGAAATGTGAAATGTGAAATGGAGAATGAACGGGAGAACTGGTTGGGCAGGTTGGAGGCGTGGTCAGTTTAGCTTCAAGTGTCTGTGGTTTATCTAGAAAGAGCTGATCAGTACATGGATCTTTTAGTCTGCAGCTTCAGAAAGAGGTCTCAGGTGACAAATTTGGGAGTTGTCAACCTATAGGTAGCCTCTTCTATGTTCTACAATATTGTGTTGCCTTCTTCCCCTTTGTTACATGCAGCAAAGATTTATATCCCCCAAAATATCCAGTAATTAATGTGACACCTCCTGGTTGTAACTGCAAAATGATCGCATCGGATAGGAAGTACTCTTAAGAAAAATGCAAGTAACCGAATGGTTATTGCTTTCTTGCAGCGTGTCGGCGGCGATGCCCGCCCCGGCGGGACACTGCTGCAGCTGACGTCATTCTTCGTGACCCCGGCCCTGCGGCTCTGTCCACTCCAAAATGGCAGAGAAGGCTCCCCCAGGCTTGAACAGGAAGACTTCGAGGTCGACGCTTTCTCTTCCCCCAGAGCCCGTGGACATTATCAGGAGCAAAACGTGCTCCCGGAGGGTTAAAATCAACGTGGGGGGCCTCAACCACGAAGTCCTGTGGAGAACGCTGGACAGGCTGCCCAGGACGCGCCTGGGGAAGCTTCGAGACTGCAACACGCACGAGAGCCTCCTGGAGGTGTGCGACGACTACAATCTGAACGAGAACGAGTATTTCTTTGATCGGCACCCGGGGGCCTTCACTTCCATCCTGAATTTCTACCGGACGGGGAAACTGCACATGATGGAAGAAATGTGTGCGCTCTCTTTCGGCCAAGAGCTCGATTACTGGGGGATCGATGAGATCTACTTGGAGTCCTGCTGCCAAGCCAGGTATCACCAGAAGAAAGAACAAATGAACGAGGAACTGAGGCGAGAGGCGGAGACGATGCGAGAGCGAGAGGGAGAAGAGTTTGATAACACCTGCTGCCCTGAGAAAAGGAAGAAACTGTGGGACTTGCTGGAGAAACCGAACTCATCCGTGGCCGCAAAGGTATGAAAAGCGGGGCGTAAGCTTGCCTGTGCGTGCTCAGAAAAGGTGCAGCCTGCCTCCCAGAGAGGAATGTCATTTGCTTCCTTGTTTTGTTGGTAAGGCAGAATGCAGTGTGGCTACTCAGATAGTGAAAAATCCTTTCCAAAGTCTTAATTTGGTCAAATATATAGTTATTCTTCCTGTGTGATGTCATCGAATGGTATTAACCTTTCATGAATATTATCATCCTGCCGGAAGAAGCCTGGGGCACATAGTGTGAGAGAGAGAGTTCTGGTTTCCCGGATGTTGTCTATATGGTGTTTGGCCACTTGGAGGCTGAGGAGAAAGCTCTAGCTCAGAGCCCTCAGCCACTGAGTCTTGCAGAAGAGCAGGGCCCAGCCTGTCTTAAGTAAAGGGAAATGTGCTGTTGTTGGAAGTAGAGGAGGTGCCTTTTGGCCTGGTTCTGTGGAGGTTTGGGGAAAGAGAAGAGCATGGGCCTGTGTAGCTCAGAGGGCTGGGGGTGCGTGCATGAGGAAGGGACTGTTTTATTAAGCTGTGTGAGGAACGAGTCAATCAATGCCCAGAGTATGTCCATTTACCTTGTGAGGGTTCCTCTAACAATGCTGTTTCTGACTGTTGGTGTATAATTGTTTCACAAGTGAGGCATATCTCATAGTTCATCACGTATGTGCCTGAAGTGAAGGTAAATTCATATTTTCCAATGCATTTATCTAAATCTCAGAGTAAATTTTTGTCACTAATTTTAGCATGTAATTCAACTGCACACTTCTGTTTATCTAATTTTATCCAGAGCTTTCAGGGTTAGCTCAAACCAATTTTCATTCCATATATTTTGTTCTGTATTACAGTATGAATGATAAGTAAAAAGTCAAAAGAGCCATGTTTAGCTGCAGGAGCATAGTATCGATGTTTTGTGCATAATAGATGAAAATGGAGAAGGGAAGAGTGTGTCATAGGAATTCTTTTGATTACTTACAGTTTTTTCAAATATCCTCCTTCTTATAAGCAGTAATTATTATAGAAACATAATAAACCATATGAGACTTTTGACTCAACAGTAAGGCTCTACATGATAATCGACAACACATAAATAATGTAAATAATGTAAATAATCAGCTAATGCAGATGATCATGCAATTGCTCCTTGCACTGTTCAGTTTTATTTCTGGTTGACTTCTAAAGGCACTTTACTTTCCAGCCAGCAGGTGCACCTAAGTGAAATAAAATGTATTTCTGTTGTACATAATGGAGAAATGTATATTTTGTGGCAAATTGAAGATTTCAACTAGGTTTTTTGTAGTTATAAATAATTTGTTTACTTTTGTTTTATCTGTAAGAAGGAAATAGATGTGCAACATTTGTGGGTTTTGATTGAGAAAGGTTTAATATCAGGTTCTTTCTGATATCAAGTGTTTGCTTACATATTTGAGTTACTACTAAAAATATGGAGTGAATTTTGAAAGTGAATGAGATACGGATTTAAGTGAGTATTGTGGGTGTTAAATGAATTCTTTGAAGCCTTTAGGCAACTGAGGAATAAATCTTTGTTCCATCAAAAGGTCCAGAGGAAGTTAGCTAACTATGTAAAAATAAAGCAGCTAAATCAAAGAAAATTTGAAAGGTTAATGTGGTTTATTTGTTCATAACAATGTTATTAACATATATCTAAAATTAAGTTATAGAAGAAAATTTAAATATGTATGTATTTTTCTGAAGAATTTCTAGTAAGGATAAAATAGGGACAGTAATCTGACTTCCCAGACAAGGAAGTTCATTTAATCTGTAAATTTTAGAAGCAGTAGCCACCTTGATCTCTAAGAAGGTAATGATGACAATGGCCTATTGTTACAGTATAGCATTATATACCCTTATACATCAGACAGATTATTTAAGCTTCCTTCAAATAATGTATGTATGTCTAGATAAGGTATCTGCCTATAAACTATACCAGCAGCCAATGACACTGGTTATGGATGAAAATTTTATGTAGCTATAAACAGTAAATTTGTGTCCAAATTATTAATCAAGTTAAGTGAATCTTTGCTACCTTTAGTAGAGTCTTTACTACATTTTCATAAAGGATTTGTGTTTGTTTATTTAAGCGCCTACATTTTCCTCCCTGTTTGAATGGTGAAATATTATGGAAATTATTTATATTTGATTATATAGTAGTTTAGTGAAAGTATTGTTTATTTTTCTGAGGTTTAGAGCCTTTAAAGCCTTTTAAAAATAGCTCTGTATGATGTCTTATATAAACCACTACCTTTTCCTGTACTCTTCTCAAGTCATGAAACTTGATTTTTTTCTGGAATAATTTTTGGTGAGGGCATGAATGCTAATGTAGGTATGTGTGAATAGTATTTTCACAACTTAAGAACAAGGATTTTTATTACAGCTGCAATAGGATTATGCTCTAACCCTCACTATTTACTTTATGTTATGGGTATATCAGGCTCTTTCATATGCTGTCACACTCTTGTGTAATAATGATGGGAATCTATGTGTTCATCCTTACTTGGTTAGAAGGTAAGATATTTTGCAGGGAGAATATCAGTTCACTTTGCCTTCAATTACTGTGTATTCAGTTTGGTAATTTAATTGAACATATGCTTTATCTGTGCTATATGCATTAAAGTACACACTCAGATACTCCCTTCTTTCCAGAATTTAAAAAATATTCTCTTATCCTAAACCAGGATTTCATTGTTGAAAATATCTTGTTTTCTTTCCTTTGTTTTTTCTATACTTTATAATTGATCTATAATATTTCTATAATAAAGAAAGTCTAAAAGTTCTAAGATTATTTGCCAAATATCTAGCAAAGAAGGAAAAACTTGACCCTTTCTGTCAGATCTTCCATAATAGATTAAAATATCTATTCTTTGATATGGAATAAATACTCCATAATCAATTAAGTGATCATTGTTGAGCCCATGGTATGTGTATCCACTATGATATACAAAATTATTGCAAGGCCCATTGACCTATCATACTTTGTCTTTGGGTGTGGCCCTGACAATAACAATTCAGCTCTTACCGAACATGATTCCTGGTGTCACATAAGGAGCCATTTCTATTAATTGAAAGTTGTGGTATATTAATAACTGGAGGTGGGGGGAGGGAAGCCAAAACAAGGCTCAACAATTTGTCATGTTTGAAATGTCTATACTTAACAAATTAACATTTTCATGCATACACATAAGACCATAATATAATCATACTTTTCAAAATATAATGGCAGGTGATAGAAATTATTATTTGTTAGTTCTCTAGGTTATGGTATGATGTGGTTATGGGACATACGTATATATCTGAATGATTTCTTTCTATTTTATGAGTGTATCATGGTGACTTGTATATACTCTCATATAGAGATAATGTACAAAGTTTAAATTTGAGGCAGTTTGTAAATGTGTGGCCCAGCTGAATGGGCCCAGGCAATGGCTGGAACAATTCTCTGGGTTACCATGACATGGAATTTCTAGCTTTGGTATGACTTTCACAGGACTGTGCAAGGGGAGACGGGCTTAACTGGCTGCCAGTTTCCTGGGCAGTGAGTTGGAATTAGACTTGATTCTGTACCTCTTCCAGGCCAGGGTAATTTAGTCAGTCTCTGGATTGGAAACATTTTCCTCTCTTTTCCTTGGCCTCTTCCCAAAGAAACTGCAGTAGCTATTCCCCTGTAAATATTGCATATAGTGACTTCAGTCTAAAAGGTGTTTAAAAGCATTAAGGCAAATGGGCCCTGTGGCATCAGTATTCTCAGCCTTTGGGGTGAAACAACCATCAGGAAATAGCACAGCGCAGCTGAGATCTGAAAGAAACTAGATTTATGGGTACCACAGAGGGCCCTCACTCTGGATGTCTGAGCAAGGTCAAGAACAAAAGAAATCAGCTGGGTTCAGGCAAACCCAGACAGGTGTGGCTGAGCCCTCTGAGGCAGGTGTCAACCTGGGAGCATAAGTGGGTGTGGTGTGCGGACAGTGCCGGATGACAAGCTGACCTGGATGTCAGGCTAAGGGGTGAGGCTATAAGCAACCCTCTTTGATAAGAATAGCAGAAGACAACATCTGCAAAAGCACATTTCTATTCTTCCAAACCAGACAGAGCCACTCTGCAGCTTTGTTGGGCAGCATACAGAATCAAGTAAGGGCTTCCCACTGCTCAGTATCCTCATTTATCCAAAGCTACTGCTTCCTCTTACATTTTTCCCCCATTCTCCAATTCCTCCTCCACCTTCTCTCCCTCTTGCTCTCTCTCTCTCATCTTGTGTTAAGCCCATCTCCTCCCCTTGCATAGTACTGTGAAAGCCATACCAAAGCCAGAAATTCCATGTCACGGCAACCCGGAGAGTTGTTCCACCCACCGCCTGGGCCCATTCAGCTGGGCCACACATTCACAAACTGCCTCGAATTTAAACTTTGTGTCTTCAGGAAATGGCTCTGTTTTAGCTTAAGGAATGAAGGGAATGATTGACTAGAGAAATGTTTCTCCACTTTTCCCCATTAATATCCCCCTAAAGAGAAAAACTAAGTCAAATTTAAGTTCTCCCTAATGAGAGGAGAGAAACAAAATACTAAGGAATAAGATGGACTAAGATTTTGCCAGGTAGGATGGCGTTCAGAGGATCACAAATGATTGTAATAGCTAAGTGTTTTCACTCTTCCCCGCTAGAACCAGGTTTCTCCCATTGGGGGCTCTATTGCTTCCATTGAAAATGCATGGAACTGAGGGAAGGTGATGACCCTGTGTCTTGCCTGCATCTCATTTCCGCTACATATCCACGTGTTCATCATTGTTGGCATGGTGCAACATAGCACTTAAAGCAAGCATTGGAAGGGCTGGGGAGACCTTAGTCACCCTTGAACCAAGGGGGCAGCTGGTGGTGACAGATACATAATCTATGCCTGCAGCTTCAGCTCCCTGGAGAGCCCGGGGTCAAAAATATGATTTCCCAGAAGATGGCACCTATTTAGCTGCCCTATTGGTGACAGCTCCTT